CGGGCCTGGCACTGACTCCTCACTCTACGGATTCGGAAAAAGTGTACCCTTGGGCGTCAGCGTGCCCGCAGCCACCCTCCATTGTCAGCCAGCCATGGCCGCAGGCCCCACCCATCAGTTGTGGCCTAAGGGAATGTCTGCCCGAGAGGCAGCCATCGATTACCAGTTTGTCGAACCCAAGGGAGAATCCCTCCGGGTCCTTAGTAACCCCACCGGAAATAACCACCACCGGGTGGCAGCTTCCCGAGCCCCGACTATTGTCCCCATTGAACGACCCAGCCTGGGGGGGACTTGGGGAGGGGAGCAATGCACCCGTAGGTGCCGGGAATGTGGGGAAATTTGCATTGTCCCCAAGTTGTTATCCGGGGACCAAGGGGAGGTCATGTGCCTCCCCTGCTATACTAAACACGGAGGAGATGGTTCCTAGGACCGAACTCCCTCCCCTAGTCACACCGGCTGACAGTCTACCCTTGGCCAGCCAGGTAGACACTGAATTGTTGGGAGCTCTGCCACCCGGTAACCTGGAAATTAGCCAGGCTGAAACCGGAGAGGTAATCCAGCCATGTCCGGAAAATGTAACTTCTCCCCTGGAAAAATTACCCCAATGTATGGGGTCTCAATCTCCTCACAGCCCGTCTTACTCCCCGGTTACTGAAATTGGACACGAAGAGAGAGATGTTACTCTCCCGGAGGATGGTGCTGGGGAAAGTACACCGCCCATTGAGCCGACCCGAAACCGGTCAGACCCTGTCACCTCACGGGAAGACAGACCAGAAACGGGTGGGAATTCAGGGGAATCAATGCTCCCATTAGTAACCAGCCCAATAGGGTCAATAGAACCTACCCTAGAGGAGCTGGTCAGACAAACCCAGGACGCTCAAGCGCCTCTGTTGGCGCCCTCACGGGTTGACGAAGATTGGGCAACCCGCTCACGCAATACCCTAAGGTTTGCCGTCAGTTGGATTAAACTGGCCAAGCTGGCGGAAACCGGATACATTAAGGAAGGCCAGCCTATGTCAGGAGAATTCGTGGCCGGATTACTCGGCCACTTAAATGTGTGCGCAGCCACCGCCCCACGGCTGGGGTCGTTTCGGTGGCCATTCAGTACACCCCGGGCAGCCGTAGCCCGAAGCCAATTGTCCACGGCTCATAAGGTCAGCCGGGAGCTTAAGGCACAGCAAGGGTATGACCAGGCCCAAGCTTGCCATTGCGTCATATGCAATAGAAGGACGCCCATCACAGCCACACAGGATGAAGGGACCTCGGGGATGGATCAGAACCGGAAAGATGACCGGTGTCTGTCCCTAGGTTGTTCCTATCACACCGTCTGCTTCCGGACGGAAAGACAAGCAGTTTCCCTGTGCTATTACAAATATCAGTACATAGCCTACTTGGCAGACCGAGGCATAGAGCCCCCTCTCACACACGTTTTCCCTCGTCAGGAAATACTGCTGGGATTACCACCCGGGGCTGCCCAGCTTCTCATGGACTTCGAACCATGCTGGGAATCCGAACATGCCGGACCCCACCACTGCCCCAAATGCGCTCATGACACATACCTTGACGCCTTACTAATTGAAGGCAAACGGGTACAAGCGCGTTTTCGGGAAAAGGTGCAGAATACCGTATTTCTGAACTGGGTGAAAGAGTACCTTGGTTACCAAGAAGAAGACAAACTCAGTAGTGCAGCACTACTTGCCCAACTAAATGAAGGGCGTACCCCAGATGACGAGATCTGGGATGACTATTATGTTCTGACAGCTGGGCTGGAGGGATTAACCCCTCCACGGGAGCCTCATGATTCCTCCCGGTCAAAAACGCCCTCCTCAGGACACTCGCAGCCTTCCCGCACTCCTTCGCAGGTGATGACGTCACCCAGCGAGCTGACACCCTCCCCAACGTCTTGACGAACGATTGGGAGGCGTCAAGGTCTGGCCCCGACCCTTCTGCCCATGACGTCACCCAGCCCGCCACCCGAGCGGACGGCGGGAACTGGAATCCCAGCTGCAAGACACCCGCGGTCAAGACGAAGGTCCCCGGAAGGACGGGTGTCTCCCCGGCAGAGACGTAAGCACCTCCGAGAGACCCCCGAAAGAACAACATCATCCGTCATCGATTTGCGAACGGAGTCCGAGCCGTCAGGCCGAGGCCAGGAGACAACCGAAGGGATATCAAGATCAGCCATCCCTGACCTGCCGAGCAGCGCTGACTACGCGCTGGACGAACCTGGATGGCATACCAACAGTAGCCCGGACTATTCGCCCACCGATGACGACACCATCCCCGCACCCAACGAGTAATCAATTTCTGACTGGAAATACAAGGATGGTGTGACTGGAGCTGGAAATACAAGGATGGTGTGACTGGAGCTGGAAATACAAGGATGATGTGACTGGAGCTGGAAATACAAGGATCGTGTGACTGGAGCTGGAATTTCGAGGATAACGTGACTGGAACTGGAACCACAAGTTAATGTAGCTGGAACTGACACTGCAAGCACCCCATGGTAAGTACCAGAGCTGCGAAGTGTGGCATGACCGGAACCAAGGAATACCCCGGCCCATCATCCCACTCTGATGTCCCATGACTACGCCTTTCTGGGGAGTCAGTAGTAAGGGTGGATTCACTGGGCAAACTAAGGGAACGGAGATTGGTAAAAAGCATTTTCTATTAATTCTGGCGATTCAGGCTAATAAGGCGACGAACGGGAACGATCTTTCCCAGGTGATTAGTAGGCATTTTTAATCACCACTCAGTCAGTATGTGATATCTGGTAAAAAGAAAGAAACGTGGGTAAAAGAAAAACATGAGTGAGGGAGACCAGTAGACGGCCCCTCCGAAAACGCGGCTCACGCAGGGGCCCCACCTGCCAAGGCAGACGGGACCCGCTGGGCAGTCTGACTAACAGAAAAATGACGACTGGGCGGGACCTGATACGGCAGCCCTTGTAACAATACGAGACAGTAGATGGGACCCAATTTGGGCAATCTACTGATGAAAAGAAAACGGGGTGGAAAACGAGACGGAAGGGCAGGGTTGTAGCTGCCACTAAGGGACCAGTACAATCTTGCTGGTCTGACTGGGGAGTATCATAAACCCCAGTTTGAACCCGGTGCTCTGAAATGGGTTCAATGAGTCGCTGTTCTGATGCGACTACTGCATTCATCTTCATCTTACATGTCACCTGTTTGGGGTGACCATATATCGATCTGATTGTCCCTCGGTTGAGGTGGCGATCTACATCATCTGTATTGTGCAGTCTTGTACGTGTCTTAGGACGGGATAAAAACACACCAAGCAGGCGTGATCCCTTTTGGACAGCCTGTTGTTAAAAAGAAAAATGGATTAGAACGCTGGGACTAGGACACTCGACTGACGGATTTGGAAGCAGGGTGGGTAGTCCTGTCTGATGCAGAATAGGCCGTCTTGTCATGTCAAATGCTTCATCATGTGTCTTTGTCTGTAAACACGGTCATATGTCTGTCTGACTGGAAGCGGATCAACACCCCAAGTCTCAGGGGATCGAAAAAGTGTGAAATTTTTTTTGGTGACTCACGCGAGGGCGCGTGAGGGTTCGTTGGGGCGCGACGCCACAGCTGTGGCGATTTTCTGAGTACCCCGCCTGAACCATGTACCTTGAGGATTGATTGCGATATGATAACTGAATTATAGGAAAGTCTGTGCGTATTGGAATGTGTTGTAGTTGGTTGTGAAGGCTGTAGGTTGTGCCCTGCCCGTACGACGATGAAGCAACCGTGCCAATGATGCGTGCTGCCCTGTGAGGAAAACCCATGAAGGATACTGCTGCCGAACATCCTTGAACCGGAAGGCTGGATGACAAACGACGACCCTGTGAGCCTATGCTGGAGAGGTGATGACGTGCCGCCTTGTACAATCGCTGTGGAGTGTCAGGAGGACGAGCTGACCCAATGAAGAGCGGGCCCAACTTTGGATCTGACGGAGGGAAGGCTGGAGAGTGAGTCACACTGCGAGCTGCGCCTCAGCAAGGAGAATCGGGCCGAATGCCTTGGGTAATTGACGGGTATGGTAGAGTTCTGGGCGGCAAAGGCGATCCCCGTGACTTAGGCCGGGTAAGGATACCCTGAGTAACGCAGTCGGCGGCTTACCAAGGGTAAGGCACCATGGGTAACGCAGTCGGCGGCTTACCAAGGGTAAGGCGCCATGAGTAACGCAGTCGGCGGCTTACCAAGGGTAAGACACCCTGGGTAATGCAGTCGGCGGCTTACCAAGGGTAAGGCAGCCGGTGGATTGGGAAGGGTAAGGATACCCTGGGTAACGCAGGCTAGTACTTAGACGGGAGTGGCCAGTATGTTGAGACGTGGGAGGCGCACCCTGGGTAAAAGGTACATTCGTACCTTGTATGAAATTGAAGGGACCTTTCAGAGAACCCTGGTAACGGTGCCGCGCCGCGGCTTGGGTATTTAAAGACACACGGCTTCACTTGTAACGAACAACTGCGAACCTTGGGCCCACCTCGCTGTTGTGTGTGAGTGACCTTCGGGGATTGTACCCCGCTGAGTGGAGAACATGCCGCGCTGACAGACGCCCATTGTGGGTGCACTTCGCCGTCGAGTTTAGCTCGGACGGGCGAGCGTCTCAATTCGTGCGTGACCGGCTCATTGCTGGAAGATTCGCCATTGGGACGCCATTTCTGCGGTGGTTCGAGGCTCGACGCCACACTCCACCCCACCCCGAATTGAATAGCTACTACGCTGCCGCAAACGGCTCTTTCGTTGCTGCGGGCGCGGACTGGCTGCAGGCGCGCACATTGGCGCCCGCGCTCAATCCCCAACGCCAAAATCAATTCCAACCAATCACCGACGTCACACACACTCCATCGCTATGAATCACTCGGGGTGACCTGAGGCCGCTCGGCTCCTCCCACACCCCAACCGCGCTGGCGGCCCATAAACTGCGGGCCACCAAATTCGAGGCGCAAGCGCGCATGCCGAGGCGCCAAGAACGGCACGGGACGGTGGTCAGGACTCCACGCACACGCCGCCCTGGCAGAGCGCTGCCCCCGCGGACCGGAATCCCGCCCGGGATCCCACACGCCGCCGCGCGGGTTTTCGCTCGATCTCGAAAATCCGCTTCCGCTTCCGCGTCCGCTTGCCGCTCTGGCTCCCCTCCACCTCCGCCCTGCGGCACAGAAGCGACGGAGGCGTTACCGACGGCTTGGGCGGGTGGCGGCACACCGGGAAGATGCACACAACCGGTCACGAGCCCGCATATGCGATGGCCCGTTGGAGGGGCGCGGGCGCTGCGCGTGAAATATATCCCACACGACCAGCACCCCCGCCACGCACAGTCGATGGCGAATGCCGTCGCTGGGGAAACCGCCTGCGGCGCAGAAAGGGCGCCGGCGGGCCAACTGCCGCCCCTCTGACCGGTCGCGATTGACCCCCGCGCCCGCCGGCCTGACGCCCCGCACCTGATCGCGTCAGCGACTTCCGCGTAGGGCTCGAATCTCGCCAGGTCCGCGGGCGACCCGTCCGACGTCTCGGCCATCGCCCGCAAGTCCTCCAGCATCTTCAGCACGTCGCCCTGCGCGCGGCAGCGCGGGGGGGTTCCGTCACAAGCCAAACACAAAGGCAAAAGCATCCGCCCTGCCACAGCCCCTTCGGGCCAGCCGTCCCCGCAACAACCAGAGAGACAATTCGCGTTGCCGTGCCCGGCAGCCTCTTCCCACAAGCAGAGGGGGTGGCAGGGCGTGCGGCGTTACCTGGATGGCTTCCTTGGAGGCCTCCAGCCGGAAGAGGTCTGCGAAGTCCGGCCGCCGTTTGGACATCGCCCTGGTCGACATTGTTGTCTCCAACGTCCCCCCAAGGTGGTCGGCGGCTGTGGCGGCGCTCGGGTAAGGCACCCCCGGGTGGCACGGGCTCAACGAATCGGTCTTCGCCGCGTAGAGGCGCGCAGGCCTGCCGCTATTGCAACTACGGCGAACAAGGGTCCTGTGGCACTGGTCCGGATTTCTGATGCGGATGCTCCCACTGGCGTGCCCTTTATAGATGACGGTTGGAAACGCGAGAGAAGGTGGTTGGGGGTTTGGGACGGAGGTGCGAGACGAGGATGGCTTGTGTTACGGACGGTATCATCATGATTGTGAGGGCGAGGGAGTGGTTAATATACAATATGTGATATATGGTGTTTTTATGGTAGCAAGTAAATGTGGTGTCTATGGTGTTATGGTGAATGCACATGGAGACAATGGAGACAAGAGATGAACATTTTACGGTGACTGTTATTTAGCTGGTACAATTATCATGTAATGCATCCGGTTGCGGCCTCGCTTCTCGTGCCTAGGAGCAATCGTGTGTGAGCGCGCAGGAACCCTCGGTTACACTGTGATGGTTTCGGAGCCGGGGACTGACCGTGGAGGTCCAAGTGTCCCATGGAAATGCGGGAAGCGTCACCATCCTGCTTGTCAACCTCCGAGCGCCGCCATTGTTTTGGCGGTGCTCAGAGTGGTGGTGCTGTAGGAGGCCATGGTGGACTTGAGGTGTAAGATGGAGGCCATAGTGTTGAATAGATGTGGCTCGGTTTAGGCGGCTGTGGTTAGGTGGCGGAATGGGGAGTGGAGGTTGAGGGGATCGGCACCCCAATGACCCGGACATCCGATGGCATGGATGCCGGGCCATGCATCGAACCCGACTACCCTTGGGATGGGAGCCACGAATTTTCTGTTCCTGGGGGCAGTGGCTCGCCGAGTGGCGCAGCGGGGGAGGCAGCAAACTGTGCGCCGTAGGGAACGGCGGGGAGTCAATCGGAGGCACCGGATGGCACATGTTGAGCATGTTGCGCACACTAGCCTGATGTGGGGGACGCCCTACTACTGGCCGCTTGGTGTGGGGGACGCCCTGCCCAAGATATGGTAACGGTACCCCAATTAGTTTGTACGATAATATATAATACGGGAGTAGGTTGGGGTGGTCCTGCCTAAGTCCCCGTAAGGACCTAAGTGCCCAGAGAGGCAGGTCCGTGGCTCAAAGAGGGCAAGAGTCCCACACCAACAATCCTCACATATCAGAGCGGCAGGTCAGAGTCTGACCGTCAGATGGGTGCACCCGAGCGGATTGTAATTGGCGGGTAGTTGGCGGGTACGGAGCCCATTGGGGCTCCATGGCGAGACCTTTGTTCAGCCGACGGATGGAAAACGGGTGCAGAGATGGGCGTTGGGTCAGCGAGGCATCGGGAATGGGCGGGGCCGGAGTGGTGCAGCATGGCGGCATTGCCCAGTTCGCCAACAAGACCAGGCTCTTCCCCGGCATTCTGCCTGCTTGGCCCATCACTAGAGCCCGCCATTCTGCCGGCATCCGCCAATGCCTCACACACCAACCATGCTTGAGTCACCGGGCTTATCTGCCCTGCCCCCACTTCCGTTCAGTGCGCCAACAATAGTTGGAGGATGGCATCCAACTTGTCCTCCAAAACCGCTATTCTTCACTCTATTTTGTGGAGCCCCATGCTTGCCGGTTGGGCATGACCGAGCGTGCTATCCAAAGCCTCAACCAAGTTGGTTGAACCAACGTGAACGCCTCATGCTCCCCGGCGCGATCAGCCCTGTGACGTAGCTACTTAGGGGTTAGGCAGTTATTGACATTTGCTGGAGTGGAAAATAGAAATCTTCAAAAATGTACTTTTTAAGGGTGTTATTTAGAGCTTCTTGGTTCCAACGCGCCTTTAAATGCCTGATTCCGTTAAGAAACGACAAAGTTATGGCCTCATGAAGTCATAGTACTTAGGGCCAGGGGGTCGGGTGTTAGATGCTTAGAATTAGAGGACAATGGGTCGATTGTAAGTGAACGGTGGATAGTGACAATGTGCTTGGACGTGCACTTGTGTTGTCTTATCTTGATGTGACAGCGATGGACCCACGATCGGGCATCGCGCATGCAAATTTGTGCGCGCGCATGTAGTGAATTTGATACGAAAAGGTTCTTGGTATGGGGCTCCTGCCCTCTTTGAGCCACGGACCCACCTCGCCAGGCACCTAGGTCCTTACGGGGACCTAGGCGGGACCACCCCTCCTACTCCCGTATCCTAATACTTAGAACGGTTATGGTGGGTTGAGGCTTAGGCATCTTGGGCAGGGCGTCCCCCACACCAAGGGCCATTAGTAAGGCATCCCCTACATCAGGCCGCTGCGCGTAACATTCGTCCCCCTCAGGGAGAGGGGCGTCCTCATCCCATTAAGTGAATAGGGGAGTAGAAACATAATTGTATACACCGCAACTGGCTGTGCGATTTGCCACATGCCTAGTGCGCGTGGTTGCAATGCAACTATGATGAAGAGAAAGAGTGGTTATTACATGACCTGTCGGCCTCCCTACAACCCTCATTAAAACTCTTCCTTCAGCCCACAGGCTGGAATGTTCAGTCCCTGGCCTTTCGGCCTATGTCCAACTGTTGAAAAATCAAATCATGCAGGTCATTCTGCTCGGCCCCGGCCTCCACCGGCCATCCAACCCCGGCCTCCCCGAGGGTGCTGTTGCTGTCGCCGTGTCCTCGGACGCACACAAGTTGGGGCTCTCGGGGGGTTAACAAGAGGGCCATCATGATCCACCCTCTCCCCACTCAAAATTGCAAGGGATATAGCATTCATATGTCCAAACAACGTGTGAGAGCTGGGTCCGGTATAACCGGTGTGCTTCTGAGCACATTTTAGTAGGACCTGTCACATGCACATTTGCATTTGAGTTCATTTCATCATGTACTTTTTGTACTGCTGTCAGTTTACACATGCACAATAGGAGTTCTTCCATTCTCAAATGTTTGAACCAGTTCTTGTGTATTGGCAACTGCTTTTGCTAATTCCTAGCTGTTATGTTCATGACCATAACCCAGCCATTTGACAAGGTACTCTACTGAGTCCTGTCGTCGGCCACGCTTTTTAATCCTCTTATCCAGGATGCGTTCAACTTCATATTCCAGTTCTCCTTCGATTTCGATAGGAACTGGTGGTGGCTGCACTCTGCCACTTGCCTTATAAGGTTTAATCTTTGATACATGAAATACTGGATGTATCTTATGCATGCTTTCCGGTAGTTCCAGTCGATATGCGACAGAACCTATCCGGTCGAGGATGGTGAAGGGCCCAATCCACCTCGGTAATAATTTCCAAGTTCCAGGGTGTTTGAGGGTGATATATTGTGTCGAAAGGAGGATGTCATCTCCTTTATTAAACGACACATCCCTCCTATGGCGGTCAGCATGCTTTGACTGCCTATTTTGTGTTTGTTCTAAGCACGCCCTGGCCTCTTTCAGCGCTGATTGGACACGGTGATCAAATTGTGTCACTGCTGGTAATCCCTCCACGAGGGGTATACTAGTATACCTCAAATAAGCCTGCTGTGCCCTATCAATAGCCACTGCCAAGCCGCGGGCATTCAGATTGTCATAGCCTTTCAAAGGCTTCCAAATTTGCACCCCAAGAGCTAAGGGACTCTTTGGGTGTCGACCGTAGTTCAAATAGAATGGGGTCTCCTGGGTAGAACTATTTTTCGAGTTGTTCATTGCAAACTCGGCCATGGCTAACAGTTCATCCCATGTGTTATGGTCAGAATGCATATAATTGCGTAAGTAATCCTCCAAAATCCGATTCATGACTTCGGTCTGGCCATCCGTTTGTGGATGGTACGCAGTGCTCATGTTGAGCTGTATTTTCCACCTCTCGGCCAGGTACCGGTAAAACCTGGAAGTGAATTGAATGTCTCTGTCGGACACTATCTGAGAGGGGAGACCATGGTGCCTTATCACATTTTGCACCAATAGGTCGGCTGCTCCTTCTGCGGAGAGCTTAGTGGTCGTGGTTGCGAGGCGGACCATTTTGGTCAGTCTATCGATGAACTCGACGATAGCATCATGACCTCCCTTAGTTTTTGGCAGTTGAGTAATGAAGTCCATGGACAGTTCAGTCCATGGCTCCTCAGGAATGCCCAGAGGCTGTAATAAGCCTAGGGTGTTTTGACGAGAATACTTAGCCTGTTGACAAACCAGGCAAGTATCAACATGTAGTTGTACTTCTCGTCTCATTCCTGGCCACCAGTAATACCGCTGGACCAAGTTCAGGGTTTTGGCTTGACCAAAGTGTCCTGCACTTGGATGGTCGTGAGCCAACTGGCAAATCTCAGTCCGCAGAC